AATTAACTTAAATGATTTTAGCAAATGGCTGCAATATAACAAAGGGTGAAAAATTTAAGGGGGTCTGAATACTTTCCGTACCCACTGTAGGCTGGCCATTAAGCAGTACAATTCAAAATGTTTGACACATTCAACCAGTGTTTACACAGTTGTGAGACTCAGTGTACAGCCAAAGGATCTGTGATTGCTTAGTCAGAGGAGTGTTTTCTGTCTTCGTCCAGTACCTCAGCCAGAGAACAGACATCTACCTCTCACACATGTTTAATGGTCCTGTTCTCTTACAACCTGTAAGAGAATTAGCACTTCTTAGCCTGGGGTTCCCTCGGGAATCTCAAACTGATTTTTGGAGTAGTGTTTTTTTCAATATATGAGTACAATAAGGTCTGTAGTTAACACTACTTTAAGAGAATTTCACGTTTTGTTCTACAAAATAAATCACACACAGTCATACCTCAAATGTCAATTTAGTTACATAAGGACTACAAATACCACGAAACGGTATTTTAAATCCACATTCAAAATTCCTGAGGGAACCCAGGTAGAGTTTTCCCTTCCAGATTTGCCCACGAATTGACGTCAGGACTGAACAACTCTATTTAGTGTTCAGCTGATGGCAAACATTGAAGGAATACTTCACATTAAAAAGCCGTATGACTTTCTTTTTTCTGTGGAACACAAAAATATATTTTAAATATTTTAAAATATATTCAGTTTGCTTACTGACATCTCAAAGAACCCACTGACCCTTACAGAATGCTGAAGCCAATCTAAGTGTACTGTACTCAGAGACAGTTATTACTATAGCATGTGTTTGTGTGTATTTGTGTGCTGTGCGCATTAAATGTTCATGTCAGACTCCATGAGTGTAATTAACACATTGCGTAAGTGTTTTTCTCTCTGAAGTCTTTCTCATGTTTGATCTTACAATGTTCATGTGTAATGTCGTTGTGCTGTAGTGTTTGGAGGGTTTCGTCTAATCAGGTTTAGAAGATCAAAGTCTAACCTTGTTTTTGAACATGCATTCATCTGCGTCCTATAATGAATATTTTTGTCTCTCACCTACTAAAGCTCCTTGACTGTTTTTGTGTGTAAATTGAGAAAAGAGAAAAGCTCATTTAAAGGAATAATTTGTCTAAAAAAAAGAAAATTCTGTCATTTACTCAACCCTCATGTGTTTCCTGTGTTGTTACTGTTAATTAAAACTAAACTATTAAAACTCATTTTCAGTAATTGAAGTAAAACTGAAACAGGTTTAATAAAACACTAACTTAAAGTTGAGTCGCTAAAATTACTAAAACTTCTACTAAAAACTGAAAATATTAAAAAAGTGACTTCAAAATATTAATAAACACTATAATAGTATAAACATAATGCTAAAATAGCACTGTCTCAAGCCACTTTCTTCTGAAGAATGTATAAGGAAACTCTTTGAAGAATGCTCATGCTGCTCTTGCTTACTTATAATATAAACTGTCAACTTCCAAAATTGGTAAAACCATCATAAAAGCATCATAAAACTAGTACTAATCATTTACTATTTTCCCAAGTCATCTGAAGTCATACAAGAGCTTTGAGTGAGTAATTTTAGTTGTTTTTCACCAAGCTTACTTTCAAAATCATGCTTGACAGTTATGGTCACCATTCACTTTCACTGTGTGAAAAGAACAACATGAACATCTGCTATAAATAACTCAATTTGTGTTGCACGAAAGAAAGTAAGTCATACGGGTTCTGAAGGACATGAGGGCGAGGAAATGATGACAGAATTAACATCTTCTAAGGCTTGTTTTGTATCTGATAACGTTCTCGAAACCCCCCATCCGTCTTTCATCCACGCTCATGCGTTAGTGTGTGCAGGTATGCTGGCGGTGGGCCCTGCGTGATTATGAGCTGGTATGAATATATGATAAGAGGAATGATGACAGGAGGCCTTTGCTGAAATATGAAACTGATGGTGCTGATTCGTCTACGTTCGACAGGTCCTTGCAAGCTATGGGCCGTTAACACTCACATGCACAAATATACACATTTCACAGCTCTCTTCACCACATCAGAGCCACCTAAATGAGTGTAAGCCGTCTGGTATCTGTTTAATGGACATGAAAGGAAACTGTTATACACTCATGTAAATGTATTCATTTTGGTCATATAATAAGATTAGTATTGTTCTTTGCCAAAAACGAATTGAATATTTCTGTGTCATATTTTGATATAATGATATTTTGGCCTAGGTGTTAGCATGATAGCCAGGTCCTGAGAAAAGAGAAGATGCAGTATAGAGGAAAGAAGAAGACGGATGGTATTTGGAGCTGGATGAATAAGGAGCAACTGTTTTTTTATTGAAGGTATGCGCAGAGAAAATATATATTATAGGATATTGAGGAAACAGTTTGGGGGGAGGGGAGGGGAGGGGGGTTAATATTTTTGAAAGAAATCTCTTATGCTCACCAAGACTGTATTTGTTTGATCAAAAACGCAGTAAAAACAGTTTGTGAAATATTATTACAATTTAAAATAACTCTTTTCTATTTGAAAATATTTTACAATGTAATTTATTCCTATGATGGCAAAACAGATTTTTCAGCATCATTACTCTTCAGTCTTCAGTGTCACATGATCCTTCAGAAATCATTCTGATATGCTGATTTGCTGCACAATAAACATTTCTTATTATTATCAATGCTGAAAATAGTTGTGCTGCTTGATGTTTTTGTGGAAACCATTATATATTTATTCAGGTTCCTTTGATTAATAGAAAATTTAAAACAGCATTTGTTCGAAATCGAAATCTTAAAGTGTCTTTTGTGTCTCTTTTGTAAGTTTTATGCTTAAAACAAGACAATTTGGTAATGGTCTGTGACACCGTGTTACACTTTTCCTTGTCACTGAATTAAATCCATTTTAGCACTTTTAGATCAAGCTTTTTTAAACCTGCATTTAGTGTTTAAATTTTAATGTTTTTTTTCTCCCAGGCATGTTAATTTTAACAGTTTTACAGTAGCTTCCTCTCACGTCTGTGGAAAAGTTCCCACTCTCGTAGTACTGTGTACTTGCAGTGTCTTGCCTATAATATTAAATGCTAGCACCAGTTCTACACTTACAGTCAACGCTAATAAGTCTGTGTTAACTGTTAGTATGTTGTCTGATAACAAAAGGCCCAGGTGCTGCACAACAGGAAGCGTCAATACACTCGTCAGAGGTGAGGAGAGAGTGCGATGTTAAGTTATTTAACATGTTGTTGAAGACACGTCCAATCGGGTCTTTCATCTAATTGTCACCTAGTTAGTGTAGTGTGAGGTGAGCATGAATGTGTGTGGCCATGTGTATTTGCTCTGAGGGATTATGATCTTTAATATGCATTTTTCAGTATCTGTGTGTATTTGTAAGACAAATTATTACAATTTAAAATAGCTCTTTTCTATTTGAATATGTTTTAAAAAAGTAATTTATTCCTGTGATGACAAAGCTGAATTTTCAGCATCATTACTCCAGTCTTCAGTGTCACATGATCCTTCAGAAATCATTCTA